TTGGTGGCCTTTTGTACGGCTTATAAGCGTTGATCGTGGCACACCCCATCGCCTGGAGGCAGTGCGAGTAGATATACCATTTTTGATGTCGTTAAGCGCCTGGATAACCTCATTTTCGGTATACTGTTTCATTGTATAATACAAAAGGTATTCTGAAAGAATGATGGAAATTGATGAAGGATTGACAATGTTGTGGTAGTTTGAAAATTGGGTATAGTAGTTAATGGGGTGGCTGGGCGGCATTTTATGGGTGGTCGAAAAGCACGGCATCAGGAATATTTTGAAAAATGGGCTTTTCGAGTTGGCAGTGGCAGTGACATCGATTGCGTTGCGCCACCGCCTGCATCTTGGCGACGTTCAAGGCATTGCCAGCTAAATAATGGTAAATTGCGTGAGGTTAAATGAGGTTATTTCCGTTCTGTATCCGCTCTCAGCGCTCTGTGTCCCCATTTTCTATCGAGAGTGGAATCCTTTTTGTTCCCGCAAACCCGGCCAGTCGTGGCGTGTACTTAGGTCAACAGTTCACGTTGGCTTCCGATGCAGGGGGCGGACAAGAATGTCGTTGGCAAGATACACATCGAACTATGTAATACTCCTAGGGGTAGATCAGGACTTGCTGTCCCCAACTGGAAGCCTTCTCCGCAATAGTGACAGCTTCCTCCCACTCTTCTAGTGAAAATCCTCTGTTGACAATCTGATGCCCAGCATCTTTGCCTAGCTTGATTACCCCAGCCTCGACCATCTTGACCAGAGATACGAGCTCCGCGCGAGTATACATGTACTGTCCCTTGATGATGATGTTACGAACCATCAGGCTCATGTAGCTGATCTTTACATCGAACATCGCGCCAAGGAAAACGGCGCGGCCGAACGAGCGGAGAGAGCCCAGAGACACCGTCAGGTGATGGGGTGAAGCCGTGGCAGAAGGCGGCGCAACGTCGATATAGGCATCCGCACCACCGGGAGCAAACGCTCGGATGGCCGCAACATCCTTCATTTCATCGCCGCTAAGCTCCAGGGCGATGATGCGGGGATAGCGGGTCGTGAGCGGTTCTAACTTGGAGGCCGATCGAGAGAGCGCGATGACCTTGCAGCCGATCTGGGCGGCAACCTCGGCCACGGCGCCGGAAAAGTGACCTGTGGCCGGTGCCACGATGACAGCCTCCCCGGCGTGGAGATCGGCAGCGCTGACGCCGCCGTAGGCGACAGAAAGACGCTGGATGTAGTTGAGATCTCCGAAAGAGTAGCCCAGCTCATCAACCAGAAGCTTCTCGTTGAGGGGGATGGCGTTCTCCAGTGGGACTGTGGCAACATCTCTCCAAAGCCCGCCCAGGTGCTTGAACAGCTTAGCCTGGCCTGGTTCGCCAAAGCCGTCATGAAGGCCGGTGAGAACTCGGGTGCCCTCCGGGTCGTCTCGTGCGAGGTAAAAGCCGCTGAGATACACGAGCTGGCCCGGCTTGATGGCTACCGCATCGGGGCCGACAGCGAGGACGCGTCCGACGCCGGTGTCTCCCGGGTTGTATGGGACGGTGAGGGAGAGTGGACTGTTTCCTGAAAAGCCAGCCCGGTTGTGTGGCCGGACGGCAGTGCTCAGAACGCGGACCAGGACCGACCCGACAGGTGTGGTCTTTGGTGTCGGGGTCTTTTCCAAATTGAGCGGCTCGTTGAATGCGTGGAGAACGAGCGCTGTGGTGTTTTCGGGGATGGTAAGGTCTGACATTGTGAAAGATGGTGATGATGTAGGTGTAGAGGCAGGATTCAGTACCTGCTGAGGACAGGCTACTCAGGACACGCGGGCTACTGAGACTTACAAGCAGCTTCTTTATTTTGAGCTTTCGGACTTCAAAAAAAAATCCCACCAGTCACGCCAATGACTAGACAGCTTATTGATCTGCATCGTTGTGTCCCGATCATCAGCTCCTGTGCCCGTATGTGGTGCATCAGTGAGTTCGTCGGGTGTGTCGATTACCTGTTTAGGCAGTAGTTAGATCCGCCATGTCCGAGGCCCGCAGAATGCACTCCACCCAACTCCGCTGCAGTCAGTCGGAGCCAATGAGGCGGGATCGCTATTCTCAAACTGCCCTCAGCCGGTCTTGGAATCTGACTGTCCAGCTAAGCCGGTCTAATTAGATGCTTTTCATTGATATAGCTAGCTTTCGAGTCTATCTGCGAAACAGGTGGCCAAGCTGATAGGCTGGCTGCGGTCGGCCTCGAGGGGGCCAGCCAGGCAGGTCTCAGGCGCAGCGCTGCCGCCAAAGCCAATCTATCAAACCTACTAACAAATATACCAAACAATTGAAGCTATTCCCAACTGTCAATTAAACAATTCCTGACCCCTCAGATTTGATATATTGGGTTGATTTGGCTTGGTATATTATATA